CCAAGAGCCCTGAAAAGGCGGGAAACAGTATTGTCGGTCTGCTGAGCTCCGAGACCAGGGCCCGCGCCCAGGGAATCCTTGAAGGGCAAGGCCCACGGGCTCCGACCAGTCAACTGCTTGAGAACCTTTTGAGCGTAGTGGCTTCCGGAGATGCGGGAAGACCCTTCGGGCGGGGGCGGAGTCGGAGTCGGAGGCGAGGCGCTCCGGAGGCCCGGGTCATGCAAATGAGATATGAATATGCTAATACAGGCGGGCTCCCCACGATTGGAAGGGCGTCTGCCGCGACCGGCAGAGCCCGCGGGGAAACGGGAGAAGAAATGGAGAGAGGAAGCGGAGGCGCACCCGGGCTGCTGGACGCAACCGGCCCCAGACCGACTGGCGCTGGGAGAAGACGTCCCTCCCCCGGCACCGGCATCGCGCTGCCCGACTCGCGCCGCCAGCCGGGCCCTCCGGCTCCTTACCGAGGGTGATGAAGGGGTGGGGGTGGGAGGTTCTGTGGGCAGCAGTGAGGGGCTCCCTCCGAATTGAGAAGCCAAAAGGTTGTCAGCGGTACCACCTTGTTTTACAGATGGGAAAACTGAGTCCGAGAGATTACTGCCCCTTCTCCAGGGTCTCAGTGCTAGCGGCAGAAGCTCTCCGTGGAGTAGGTTCTTGTCTCCTTTTGTTTTGTTTTCACTCCGGCACGTGGACACCACTCTGTAGGTGAAAAAGCAGCAGCCCTAAATGCAGCAGAACTTGGTGCATTACCAACCATGTCCCGGACTGCCCACCAGGCTGGAGGATTTAGAATAGAATACTTCCTGGGGAAAGATGAAAGGAATTGGGGTGGCAGCCAGTAGCAGCAGCAGCAGGCAAGGACAAATTACCATAGGCCGGTCTGGAATGTGTTGCTGCGTGAAAGGTGAGGAAGTGTTCCAGCTTCTCTGAGAACTAGCTCAGAGGAAATGAAAGGGGAGCAGAAGGATTATGGTTAGATTTAAGGCAGTGCTTTCTCCCAGGGATGATAATGGGGCCCCTTATTCAGTGACCCAGGAAGGCTATGGACCCACCCCCCTCCCTCGCTTCTGAGGGCTTTGGAACCCAACTCCCTCTAGTCCCGCAGGGCCCAGCATGGAGGACAGGAGTGAATGATTGACTTTGAAAAGTCCTCACTATTCAGGTAGGAGATCCTTTCCTGGGATGGGCCCCCTGGGCTCTTTGCTGAGGATGAGGACAGCAGACGCGCTGGCTCCGGGGGCCCTGAGGGGAAAGCAGCAGTCATGGCATCTCTTGCAACACGCTCACTGCCAAATTGATTCAAATTGGCTTGGATATGAACATATGATTAAAGGAGCGGCGCGATTCATTTATCAGGAGAGATTAAAGAGCGGCATCTGCGCAGCCTAGCTGGGGGACAATTAAGGAGCAAATCGCTAAGTGTCTGTGCCACCAGGCGTGGGGGTGGGGCATGGTGGGGGGACAACTGGGATAATCTGCCAAGAGGACACAGGACAAAAGGAAGTAGTTCAGGAGTCACTGTGGGCCCCTGTTGTCTCTGGGCATTGACTGGGCACCTTGGGGAGCCTCACAAGGCTTTGGGCCCCACCCATGCCTCTCGTTAGACAGGAGATTCTATGGAGGCAGCTTTGAGCCTGGCACAGGGACAGATTTGCAGCCTTTTTTTCTAGAATCATTTACATCTTAGGGACCAGAGGTGCCCTGAGTGTACAGGTGAGGGCGGAACTTATGGAGCTCTGAAGGCACACCCAAAATGATTGGCCTTTGATGGCCCTACAATCTCTTGGACTCCCCCGGGGAGATGGTGCTGAGGGAATCGCTCCTTTCCTTCTTGGAGCCCAGCACCCTGGCCAAGGGGCTTTGCTGCAACTTGAAGTGTTGGTCATGTGAGGCGATTTCCTGCTTCCTTGGCCTGTGGAGATCCCTATCACCACCTATCTTTCCCTGCCTCAGGGCCTTTGCTTAAGCTCTTTTTTTTTTTTCTGGTACACCTGTAGAAGCCTTTCTTCAAACCCCAGCTCAAAATACCAGCTCCTTTTAGAAGCCTTCCCATCCTTCTCCAACCCCCTCCCCCATCATATTCCCAAAGCAACCTATTTGTCCTTCTCTTATGTCTCATGTAATTATTTCCACATGGGTCTGTCCCAATCTATGAGCCCCTAGATGACAAACACTATAATTTACTCCTCTCTACTCACCCAAAGCTTGCAGATATTAGTAGATGCAGTACCTATATTGTATGTCTAACTCCTCCACGAGAATATCTGCCTTATGAAGGAAGAAAACTCATCTGTCCCCAGCACTTAGAACAGTGCCTAGGCCATGGCAGGCAGTTATGAAATATCTGAATGTTGAGTGAATGAATAATTAATAATATAAGCTTTCTGAATTGAAGCCCCAGGTCAGACAATTCGACAATGATGTTGGACTTTCCAGTTAACCTGAGGCCTGAGTCAGCGCAGGTCAACAGAGTTGGGATCTTGTCTGCAGATGGGAGGGACTCTGTCACCCGTTCCTGGGAGAAATAGAAAATGCACCCATCTATTTGAGAGCATGAGTAAAAGATGAACATGAGGAGCCAGCAGTTTAAAAAAAAAAAAGTAGGGTTGCCTGGGTGGCTCAGTCGGTTGGGCGTCCAACTTCGGCTCAGGTCATGATCTCACGGTTTGTGAGTTCGAGCCCCGCGTCGGGCTCTGTGCTGACAGCTTGGAGCCTGGAGCCTGTTTCTGATTCTGCATCTCCCTCTCTCTCTATCCCTCCCCCACTTGTGTTCTGTCTCTATCAAAAATAAATGAATGTAAAATAAAATAAAAAATAAAAAAAAAAGTAACTTTACTTTTATTACCTTTTCTATTCGACCTTGCAGGGGCAGTGGAGGGGGGTAGTCTTTTTCATTCAAGATGGGTCCATATTATACTTCTCTCCCACTCGTTCTGGGGGACTTTCCTCCCTCCTTCCCTTTCTTGACCCTTTCTGGGAGGCTGACCTCGCCAGAGCCTTGGCTTCAGCGCTGTCTGATACCCTTTCCTGCCTACCTGTACAAACCAGGGGAGCCCGACTGACCAGCTGTAAAAGAAACTTTATGTGTGCCAGGATTATAACTGGTCACATTACAGAAGGTGGAGGAGGAGTCGTCGTTTGTTTTTTACCCTTCTGTAAGAGCTGCCTCGCAGCTGTCAGTGAGCAGACCAGGTGTGGACTGAGGCATGAAGGCAGAGACTGGGCAGGGCAGAGAAGCCAGAACTCCCAGCCTACTCAAGTTGGCCTGTGGCCAAAGGGGTTGGGGGCCAGAGAGAGTTCTGGCAAGTTTTGATCAAAAAGTCATATTTGGAATGACTAAAATTAAACTTAAACTTTTTTTCTAGAAGGACTTGAAAAAAAAGAGAGAGAGAGAAGCTAGGATCCCTGTAATTGGTGAAATTTAGTAATCAGAGGACCTCAACATTTCTGAGTGGAGGCCAGTGTAGGATGAGGCATGAATGGCTCTGCCTGATTGCAATCCACAAGCTCTTAAAATAAAAGGTGGGGTTTGTCTCCCTTGACCAATCTTCTCATTCTACCTTTGCCTGCCCCCAGGTGACCTGCCAGAACTTTCTTTGTGGCACTGATCTGGCGTGGGAGTAGGCCAGAGACCCGGCCGCTTCCCCAGGTCCTTACCAGAACCCTGCCTCTGCTCCCCACTGACCATCTAGGACTTCACCTGAGCCTGAAGTAACAGGCAGAGCCAGGAGGAGAAGGACGTTTATTTCCATACATCAGGTAAACAGGGAAGAGAGAGCACAGCCCAGTGAGTACAAACCAATTGCGGGAGAGAAGGTGAGGGGGACAGCAGATGGGAGCTGCACCAGGCACTGCCCTTGGGTCCCCAAGTCTGGTATTATTGGTGGGATGACCTTTAGGGTGGGGCTGGGACTGTCCGGCCACGTGTTGTCTTGTCTCGGGGAAGTGTGTGGGGGCAGGGCAATTGGAAGAAGAAAAATGACTCAGGCTCAGGACACAGGGTGAGGACTCGTGTCTAATACACCATCGGTACTGACCCAAACCCCCATCTTGAGTTTTTCTGATCACAAGCTCCCAACCCAAGGCCTTCCCTCTCAAGTTGGGCCCACGGTCCAGGCAACTTGGACAGAGGGTCAAGGAGGCAGTGCTTGGATAAGCCCCGAACTTATCGGCATAGGTGGAATGGGTTTAGTCTTAAATAGGTCATTGCACTTAACACACTGAGACGAAGGGGGTGGGGGCTGAAAGTGCCAGATGGTACATATGCACCCCTGTCTGTGTAGGCTTGCTCAACCCAAACCCAGAAGCACCTGAGAGCCGCTCCCCATGCTGACAAGAATCTGGACCCAGCTCCGCTCACCGGTCTCTCCAGCTGCACAGAGAAAGGACTGCTCTCTGAGGAGCGAAGCGGGAGATGAGATTCCCCTAGTCAGTCATTCCTGGAAACCCCAGCTGCCACCACAGCCCCCTCCCACTCTCAGGGATGCAGCTGTGATGGAGAGGGTGGGTATTTAAATTAAAAGTAAAAAGACAGCAGGCACTGAGAAGAGAAAGCCCTCACCCCAAGCCTGGGGGCGGGGAAGGAATTGCTGTTCCTGCCCCCAATTCCTCCCCATGGACCCAGCAACCTAGAGTGTCCCAGCAGGCAATCTGTCCACCGTCCCTGAGCAGGGGGCTGAGATGGAGGTCAGCTTGCTGGCTCCATGCAGTGCCAAGCCACCTGCCACTGCCCACAGTGCGGCCCAAGGTCGAAACCAAAAGTGTGGCGTTTTGGAGGCAGAAGGAGCATTAAGTTCTCTTTTCAGAAACTCCTCTTCCCCCCCACCTCTTCCATGTGGAGATGTCAGACACCCACAATTTGGAAAGCCCCCCAACCCCCTTGGGTCGGGTGTTTCCCATGCAGATCAGCAGTCAGGTGGGGGAGACCTGTGCCCCATCATTTCCTGGGAGAGGCGCTGTGGCAGTAGCCTTTGGGTGCCAGAGGTTCAGACCACTCCCCTGGGCTATGCGTTGGTCTCTGTCGGCTTGGCCTCTGTGTCGCTGTCACTCAGATAGTTATGGGAATATCTTGGCCTGGAGGTGCTGTCCAGAGGGTCGTGTTCATCATCTGACCGGTCAGGGGCAAGGGACTTCCAGTAACTGGTGGGGCTGCAGGGAGAGAGGAACAAGGTCACAGACGAACAATGCTCTTAACTCGCGGCACCAAAGCCTTTGGGTCTGGGAGGCTCCCAAAGCCCTGTCATAGCAGTCCCTAAAAGCCACAAATTGAGAAGTAAATTCAATCCTATCTTGCTTGAGAAGCAATTCCATCTTCCCCAGAAGACACTCAGAGTAGTAAGAGAAAGGAGCACATTGTTTTGATTCTGAAACCTTTTGAAATTCCCAGGAAAGCAACACTGTAGAGCAGTGGGTCTCAAACCCGAGTGTGTTATAAGGACTCCTGCATCCTTCCCTGGAGAAATTTTGATTTGCTAGCTTTTGGGTGGAACTGAGGAATTCCCCATTTTCAGCTCCTCCCCAGAAGATTCTGATGGAGGTGGTCCATGGACCAGGCTGACTTGGAGAATGGCAGTCTGGTGATTATATGGCTACAACCTAAGGGAACCTCATTCCTAACACGATTCCTTCTAAGAAGGAGGAGCCTTCCCCACGGAATACTACCAGACCTTAACACTTTCTCCTTAGGCTTTCCTAAGGCCTGTGAGAATTTCTGCCCTTGACCGTGGCATCATCTATTCACCACAAGGATAGGAGACTCAGGATGTAGGAACTGGCAAGACGTCCATTTCAGGGTGGCATAGTTATCCCTTTCTTGGTATCATAACCCAGCCCTCTAGAGTTTTCATCAGGCCACTGGGAACCTCCAGCTTCCTCCCACCAGGATGTGAAGAAACATCATCCCCTGGATGGAGCAGGCTCATGGCATTCAGCAAGGATGGAATCTTCTGCTCCAGTCATCTTTTTTTTTTCTTTCTTTCCCAAAGCCTGAGAGCCACCTTCCCCTGCCCCTCCCACCGCTGCTGCCTCTGCCGGTTCGAGTGCACCATAATTTCAACACTCTTGAACAAAATGCAGCACAGAGAAGCTCCACCCCTACCAGTGTCCAGCACTCAGAGAGTCCCCGTCCAGTGCTCCCAGGGACACAGCTCTGCTTCCGGATCCTAGAGAGCTTCCACTGGCATAAACAGGAATTCGGTGACCCCTCTGCCCACAATTCTGCTTTAAGAATCTGAGGCGGGGAACCTTGTTTATGGCCCCTTTGAAGTTCTACCCTAAACCCGAAGAGGAAGAAGCAGGCTTCTGAGAGAAAGAATCAAATCCTTCACTTTTCCATCTGTGTTGTGAAGAAAGGGTTTGGCTATTGAGTACTTCCAGCGTGTGAGACATCGTCCTAGGCAGTCTGGATATGCGTCTTATTCTTCACAAGAGCCCTATGAAACGTCACCAGGAAGCTGGTTCAAAGAAGCATCTTGCTCAAGGTCATATAGCCAGTATGTACATTTGAACTTGGACTCTTAGACCTCAAAGCTTTTGCTGACTCCACCTGGCCACTGGATTGGGTGACCCCAAGAGGAAACAAGACCAAACCTGAATGCTCCCCACAGGCCCATGGTGAAAGCCCTGGGGGTGTGTAAAGATAGGTTTCTCTCTCTCTCTCTCTCCCCCCCTCCCCCCCTCCCTGGGGAGAAGGAAGAGCCTGATAGACTACATGTTCAATTATGCAAAATGGTTCAGGAATGGGGCAGTCTGGTTAATAGTTATCATATTTCTCATGAATGAATTACCATTTTTAAAGGAATCAGAATAGCACAAAACACATTTAATACAAACTAGACTGAACATAAATGAGTCTTACTTTGATGGGCCAAAGGCACTTAAGGACTCTAGGGTGTCTCAGGGACGAAATCATAAAGCTCAATGATGACTGTGCACCATAGAAAAAATTGGGGTTATTTTAGCTTTTGGGTTGTTTGAATTCTAAATTAGTGGGAGCCTGGTTTTATTTTCATGTTTGAGATAGAATTTCTGGGCACCCAGTGCTAAGGTCTGCTCTTGGGCACGGGAAGGACTGATTTTGTGAAAAGGCAGTGTGGTTATTTTGGGGGCAGTTGGGGGGCAAGGCAGATGCCAGGACTGGGACCCAGATGCCAATGGGGCGCTGTCGGGTAGGGGCCGGCCCGAATTCCTTTCCATTCCCCCCACGTCTCTCCTTAGAGTAGGGTCGCGTCCCCCATCCCTATGTCCTTGTGCCCGCCAGGTTCCAACACTGCTCCATCCAGGTGCTGGGTAAGTGGCACAGGTAGCGGGGGTCAGTTCCACGGAGCCATAAGATACCCTTGCCCCTGGCTGGGTGTTCTTCAGCCAGTCTCCTTTGTGGCTTCTATCCGCACAGCTGTAGAGCCAACAGCAGGCAGCTAGCCCCCTCCCAAGGGCAAGAGTCTGGGCTGGCAATTTGAACATTTTAACCAAATTGTTCCAAAAGCTTTCCTCCCCACAAGCCAGTGTCTCCTGCGCAGCGCTGTCACAAACAATTTGGTGTATAAACTAATTCCTGCTGGGTGAGCCCAGGGTGGCAGGCCCCTCCCCTTGCCTCTGCTATGGATGCGTTCGTGTTCTGAATTCTCACCGGTCCCCATCACCAGATGGGAAGCTAAGCCATCACTCTGCCCCTGCCCCCATTCTACCCAAGGTCGGTTCATGCTGAGTCTGCCTAGGTCCTCCCTTCCCTGGCCCTTCTCCTGCCAGCTCTGTATTGACTGGCAAGCTTTTGGCTCGGCGCCCACTCTCCCCGCAGTGAATCCAATCCTCCCCGGTGGTGTTGTATAGGGTTTCAGGATCACTCCTGTCTTGCTGGCAGACAAGAGGAACTGTGCTGGTGGCTGGGGGAAGAAACAGGCTTTATGTGGTTTTGTTCTTGTTGGTCCTGGGGTCAAGGGTGATGATGGGCTGAGGGCATCGGGTCCGAAATACACCAGTTGCCGGGCAGTGTGGAGGGGCCTGGTGAGGCCCACGTCTCCCTCTTCAAGCAGGGGTGCAGTGCTCAGTCTGGCCTTCTCTCTTTTCCAAACCACCTGATGGCCCATCAATGACTTCCTGCATTCGGGGAGCAGGGCACTCAGCAGGGCTGCCGAGGGGAAGGCTGAGCTGGTAGATACAATATTGCGACTCCAGCCTTTGCTCACTGTGGAGCTGACAACAGCTCCCTCGTGCAACAGAGATGCTTTCCGCTCCTCCCAGAGCATCCCGCAACCACTGCCACAGGGGGTAAGCGACCCGAGCAGTGCTGAGCCCAAGGGCTTGGTTTCAGAGCAGCTCGGGGCCAGAGGAATCCAAGATGTCTGTCCATGAGCCTGGGCTGGGCTTAAATTCCACCCTCCTCCACCATCCCCCTAATTCCATCCCATCACCCATCTCCAAATAGCTGCAGGTAACTTTCACTTCTACTTGCTCCTTTCCTTAAAACATAACTGGTCCCTTTGGGTATAACCCGGCCAAGTCAACGTACGTGCCCAGCCACCCCATGGCACAAGAGGCCCACAAACATGCGACAGGTGTGTGTTAGTTCATGCATCGGGGAAGCAAGGCCCCTGCCCCAGGGGGCTGCGCTCTGGGGTCACACCTCCTGGGAAGCAGCAAGCTTGCCCTGGGAGGGTGCCAGGCCGAAAACAGCTTCACATAACCAGGGTGATCCAAATGTCACCACCCACCAGGGAAACCGGGAACAATGGGATTCCAGTGAGTCAGTTTCTGCCTTCTTCTGAGGTGGGGGTGTGGGCATAAAGGGCCTAACTGCTAGATCTCCCTTCCCACAGAGAGGAGGCTGGGGGAGGCAGGAGAGCCAGGAGGGGGCTGTCACTCAGCAGCTGCTAATTTCTATTCATTATAACTTTTTAAGATGAGCTGAGCTGAGGCGACGCCCATGTGTGGGCTTCAGGTGGGAGGGCTGGGGAGGGAGACAGGGAACTGCGGGTTTGAGGGAGGGTGTGGTGCAGCCCCGTGAGCCTTGCTGTCTGAGGCTTGACGCGCGTAGCAGGGAGGAAGGTGGCGTTGCAGGGCAGTGTCGAGAGCCGAGAGCCGAGCCAAAGGTCCCGTAAGAGAGGGCGGCCACTGACACACCAGCTGGGCCACTGACACACCAGCTCGCCCTCAGGGGTCAGCTAGAGCCCTTTCCCAAGCCCAGCCCATTGGGGGCATAGACAAAAGCCCGAGGCACACACAGTAAACATTTCACCTGTGGGCTCTGCCTTGGGCCCTACGGAGGAGGAGTGGTGGAGAGCAAGCCTAATAGACTCCATTCAGATCCCAGCACATCACTTCCCAACTGTGTGACCCTGGCCAGTGACTTAACTTCCCTGAGCCTCAGCTTCCTCTTCTATAGAATGGGGCTAGTCAAGCCTTTGTTATGGAGTTAGTGTGAGGATGAAGTGAACAAAATGTGGCAAATGGCTAGGAGGTCCCCCGGCACCCGCGGTGAGGACTTAGTAAGTGGGAGCTGTGCCGGACCATCCTCAGCAAGGTCAGCTGACTGGGCTCGGGGCAGAGAAGGACTAACCAGCTCGCTGGCCCCACTCTCCAAGGCAGCCAGAAAGCTCTCTGAGGCCAGGCCCGCCGCAGAGGCACGCAGGAGAGGCCTGGGTGGTGGCGGATGGGGTCGGGCACGTTAGTTCACACCGAGCGGCACACTCCATGCTGCACCCCACGCCGGGCGCCACCTACTGCACTAGTCGCTCTCGGGCCGGTACAGGTACCGCATCATCAGGCTGTCCACCTCCTTCTTGCGTTTCTTCTCCTCCTTCCGAGACGGCCGGTGCGCCTGCCTGGCCTCCTCACCTTCTGCAGCCGGGCCCTTCTTCACGCTCGAGCGGCTGTGGCCTGACACAGTAGAGCCACTGGATGTCGATGAGGACTCCGACTCTGTCTCCGCTCTCTTTCTTCTCGATTTGGACTTCTTCTTGCTCTTCCGAGAGCGCCCCTTCTTCCGCCGCTTGTGCTCCGAGGAGTCCTCGGAGCTGGAGCTCGAGCTAGAGCTGGAGCTGCTCCTTCTCCGGCTCCGGCTCTTCCGGCCGCTGCGGGAGCGGGAGACGTCAGCGGCAGAGGCCGAGCGGCGGATGCTGGTGGCCCGCGCTGGGAGGTCCAGTTGGGCGCTGCGGGCACTTTGGATGCTCTTCCGGTCGTCCTCCTCGGAGTCGGGCTCCAGGCTGCTCCTCTGGAACGGGACGGGTTTGTAGCTCAAGACCTCGTTGATGGCGGCCTCCAGGTCTGGGTCCAGGTAGGAGTGACGGCTGACGGGGCGGATGCTGGAGCCGAGAGGCTCATCCGTGGCAGAGGGCGAGGCGTGTGGCCGCGGTGGCACCGACAGGCTGCGGGCCAGCGACGGGTGGCTGTACTGGGAGTGGGCCTCGCTCAAGGCCACACTGGCTCCGTCATCCCACGCATCCAGGCAGCTCTGGCCCAAGGACAGGCGGGAATCAGGGCTGTCCCGGCCCAGGCCCGAGGCCCGGCTCAAGGAGGGACTGAGGGTCCTGGACAGGGTATCGAGCCGGGAGGTGCTGCGCCGGGAACTGGGGGAGCCTGAGAGCGAGAAGCTCATGGAGGAGCGGGCCCCGTCCTCACCGGAGCCGCGCCGTGTGGCTGAGGAGGCCCGGCTGGTGGGGGCAGAGACGGTCGAGGCCCGGTCGAAGTCCGAGCCCCACCGCTTCTCCAGCCCCCGGCCAACGCGACTCCGGGCCTCGGAGAAGGTGGAGCCGCATTCATCTTGCTCTTCCCTGGGTCCTGTGCGGGTCTTCCGGGGGGGCCTCTCTGGGGAGGCTGCCCGCTCGCTCAGGGTGGTGAAGAGCGAGTCCTCGTCCCCAGTGCCCCCGATGGAGTCCTTCAGGGTGAGCCGTTTCCGGTAGCTCAGAGAGCTCAGCACGGAGGCTGGCCTCTCCTCCACCCCCTTGCCCTCCTTCCCAGAGGTGTTGAGGGCCGTTCTAGGGGAGGGAGATGAGGTCAGGAAGAGAGAACCAGTAGTGGATTAGAGGCAGCCCAGAGAGAATGGAGGGGAGGGGAAGGGAGGGAAGAGGGAGGGAGGGAAAGAGGGAAAGAGGGAAAGAGAGAGAGAGAAAGAGAGGAGCCGGCATTAAACCCAGAGAATAAAGATACAGAGGGAGGGAGGAGACAGGAGGCAAAAAGAGCGAGCGGCAGCACCCTGGCAAAGTGGCAGCGAGAGCATCGGAGGAAATGAAGCAAAATAATTTGCGTCAGTGAAAATAGCTTCATGGAGAATGTCATGTAAATTAGACCATTGTTCTATTTCATCACTTTTCCCCCTCTAAAACGTTTAGTTCAATTTATTTCATTGTCAACTACCTGGAGCCTTGTGCCACACCGTGGTGAACGGCAGTGGGGCGGGGAAGGCGGCATTATCTGCAATAACAAAATGTTGTTTGGCTGAATAAATTAAACCAATTAGAGGGGGCCGCTGGGTGCTTGTGGTGAGGGGCTGGACTTGGGAAGGGGCCTCAGGGGAGTTGGAAGGCTGGGGATCACTTTACAAAGCAGCCTGCCCGCTACTCTGGGAGGGGGTGGAGAAGGGTGTGCCCTGGTGGGGATCAGGATGGTTCAGAGTTGGGGAGAAAGTGGGAGGCGGGGGAGCCAGCAGGGAAACAGCTTGAGGAGGCGTTGGAGCAGAGGACAGAGGATCTCCCTCCCTGCTGCCATGCTGGCTGGGAAGTGAGGGACGAGGAACGTGGAGCCCCGGATTCCGGGGGTAGCTGTCTGTGTGATCAGAAGCCTGTGACTTGGCTGGACAATAGGGAATGAGTTCCCCCAGTGGATGGGTGTGAGCAGGAAGCATGGGGGTGGTGGCGAGGGGAAATGGTGAAAAGATCAGAAGAAGGAGAGAATGGGCAGAAAAAGACAGAAATGGAGCTGTGACAGGGGAGTCAGGGCAGCCAGTGTCTTTTTTCTGCCGGCTTCAGGGGCCCAGCCAGCCCTGTCTGGGGTTGTGGGATCCGGAGTCTCCTTATGCCACCTTCCAGTCTTGATTCCAGGGCCCAAACTTTTGGGTAGTTCAACCGACATTTGTCAAATGAGTAAGTGGGGATGAAGTTAAACCCACGGGAAACCGAAGCCCCGGGTCTGGTAGGAAAACATCGCTTGGGAAAAACAAGGGTGCCACCAACCCTGACCTGACACTGAGCCTCCTGGCGCATCGCACACGCTGGGGGCATGCCTGGGCCCCTCTGAGGCATGCCAGGCAAGAGACGCCGGTGGCATGAGACCCGGCCTCTTTGGGATCCAGGCACTGCTCAGCTATCCCCGGGCCATGAGGTGGTCTTTCCTCCCAGCTCAAGGCCGCACGCTCACCTGGAACTCTTCAAGCTGCCATCGTCGGACGCTGCCTTGGAAGGCCCCTTGTTTTTCGACAACCATGACTTGACCCCGTCGACCCGGTCCTCCAGCTCAGAGTCCACATCTGAGTCCCCCTCGCTGTGGGATGAGGAGCAGAAAGGTAGGCAAGGCCGGGGAGGGAGTGATCACCCGCTGCCCAGGAGGGAGCACTGACGGGGCGGCAGGTTTTTCTCGGGCAGGGGTGGGATGCGGGTGACATGCACATCGGTGAGTCAGGAGGGGAACAAGAGAGGTCAGATGGGGCATACCATTCACAAGGACCCGGCCCCACTCAGCAGGCCACACTGTAGGACAGCCACCAGGAAGACCCTGAGGGGCACGGAGGCACCTCCCATTCTACTTTCTGTGACAGCCCGCGGTTCAGCCAAATAAGTCCAATGGGGATGACGGGGAAACCATCCATGTATCAGTGACAGCTAAATGGCTCTTGGTTAAAAAGAGAGGATTCGTAGGCTCTACAGCCACTCCCGGAAGCCTATTCTGTTTCTTGTGTGCACACTCCCAGAAACGGGGCTGTGGCTACTGCCATTTTCCATGCCTTCACTGTGAGAGCCTGACCGCTGGCCGTGGGTCAGAAAAGACCAGGGCAGCTTTCTGGCTTCAGGTTAGCTTGAACGGGAGGCCCCTCAGCTGATGGCAGCGCTAAGCTAACCGAGCACCACAGGCCAGATCCCAGACCGGCCCCGTGACTTCCCCGGCCCTTAAGAAACAAAGAAAAACGAGGAGGGGGCGTCAGCATTTCCTGAGGTGCTAGCACAGTTTCGGGATTCAAACTGCACCCTGGAGATCCACTTGAGCCCAGAGAGTCCCAGACATTGGCTCTGTCTCTCTGAGTCTCCTCTCCCCCTCCTCCCCAGTTCTTGCTCCCCAGTTCTGCTTTCTGGCCAAGCTGGCCTGAGCCCTCTCTACTTGCAGAAAAGCCCAAAGGAGTCAGAGTCTGAGGCTGGAGTCATGGTGACTCCTTCACAAAGCAGTGGGGCTTAGAGACAGCTTCTGAGTGAGAATGCTTCTAGAATTCTGCAAAATGTCTGCTCACCACATTCCCCTGCTATAGATATGCTGGGATTTCTCCTCAATATAAATTTCCGTTCATCTGTGTCAACAGGAGCAGGCCCATTCCTGAATTATGTTCTTGAATAAATAGCCACACAGGCGTGTGTGTGTGTGTGTGTGTGTGTGTGTGTGGGCGTACACACACACACACACACACACACACACACACACACACACACACGCCAGAAACCAGAAACCACCAGACTCTGTTCTGGGGACTGTGAGAGAGCATGACCCGTTGGGAGGGGAACAAAGAGGCATATTTTATGGGCTTCCATCAAATACAGAATTATAACGAAGACGAGGCTAGTTGATGCCCTGGGTAAACAGGAGTTTAGCAGACAGCCCCGAAACCACTAATGCAAGCCCTGTGCCTGTCCGAGCCTGGCAGATTTACTATGGTGCATGGGCCCCATGGAACGCCAATACCACCTGATTTATACACCCGTGCAAAAAACCTCCTTCTCTAGCTTCAGAGCCTGTAATTTATCACCACCGTTCATAACCATATTGATTGCCTTTAGAAAGGAGGTGCTGTATGCATCGCAAAATCTATGTCTACATGTTAAAAGTGTTTCTGTATAAATCTCCCTTAATACTGCACTGTTTACTGCTTTCATTAAGGTTATGGCAATAACAACTGTATCTCTAAGTAAATCGAAACATTATTTTTCTGCCCGCCTTAGCACACTCACTCACTGGCTTGCTCGATAACTTGGAGCTGGGGCCCAGAGCTGCTGAGGACGGAGCTACACCACCTCTGCCATCAGCAGGATTGTGGCTAGGACTGCCCACCCCAGTGCGCCTGCGTGAGTGCACACTGGGGTGTGCGTGTGTGTGTGTGTGTGTGTGTGTGTGTGTGTGTGTGTACTCATGCATGCACGCACGTGCCCATGCCTGGAAATGGTTTAGAATATGATCTTAAATGCGCATTTTATCAGCCCTCGAAGCTCCTACGGTCCAAGGATGGCAGGGCTAGAACACACAGGGGACAGATAGTTGTGGACCCAGAATACGAATTTCCCTCCTTACATTCAGAGCAGCAAACGGGTTGAGAAGCTGGCCTGGCTGCCCTCACCTTCCCTTTAGTTTCGAGCACATAGATGATGTTTAGGTTCTTTTTCTTAAATAATCAGGCCCGTAAACAAACTCCAGGGGCAGACAGGCTCAGGGGGCAGTTGAAATTTTAAATGGTCGGAATTAAACCTCGAGTCAAATACAATTTATGTCCAGGCTCATGTGCTATTAGTTAACTGGGAGCCGAATCGCGGGGGAACAAACAAACGGAGACAGAATGGCGAGGGATATTAATTGTGTGTGACAACCGGGCTCCAGCGGCCCTCTATCACTGTTACACACTATTACATTTATCATTAGCTCTCACGGAGTCCTTTGCGCGGCCGCCAGCCCATCCTGGCCAGGGGAGGAGGCCTGCCAAGCCAGAGGGAGTAGGGGGAGGAAATCCAATGCCACACTAAAAAAACAACCTCCAAACAAACAGCCCTGATGAACTTGACGGAGGATCACTCCGATCCGCCTGAAGGCCTGCACATCTCACACCCGCCGTCCAGCTCCCACCCAGAAAGAAAGAATCGAGAGAGGGCGGATATGCTGGGCTCCCTGCCACCTGACAGACAGGCACCAGCGCAAATGCCTGGGGCCTCCCTGTGCCCAAGGCGCCCGCAGAGAGTAAAGTAAACACATCTGGCTGCGTTCCCTTCCCTTGCCAGTTCCCTCCCCCCTGCCACTGCTCCCGGGCTGTGATTAGCTGCCTGGATGCCTTCCCCAAACAAGTAACTGCTAGATGCTCCTCACCTTGTACCTTTGTCTGCCACCAGAAGGTGGTGGACCTTTCAAAATGAAACATACCCGCTTCTTTTGGGTAGCTTGGGCTCCAAAGGAGCCCCAGGATATGGAAAAATCCAGCCCGAACAGACTTTTCCCCAGAGAAATAGGCTGGGAGGCTTGGTTTCTGAGGAAGGAGAGGGCTGGAGCTCAGGAAGGCAGATTGTGGGTACCACCGAATGAGGCTGAGCTCTCTTTTCTGATGGAGCCCCCGTCCTGCACACCAAGGGCATGAGCGCCAGCCTGCACCTTCCTGGGGTAGCGCCTCACTGCCCTGGCCTTGCCTCCCCTCAGGGCAGAGTCAGTGGTGTTAGCGTGAGACCAGCTTGGAGAGTGTGCAAGAGGCCGTGTCCACGTGCGGCATGCAGTGGGGACCCTGGGTGAAAGCCAGTGTTAGGGGCAGTTAGACACCACAGAAGGAGAGGCAGAGAGCGCCTGCGCCCCAGTCCTCACGGTTTATTCTTTCTTTTCTGATACTTTGTCACCATGTCCTGCAAACTGGAAACAGAAAGAAAATGGTGGGCTAGGGGGACAGAAGAAGAAGATTGAAAAACCAGTGGGCAAAGCAAGGGTGGACCTCTCAGCCAAGGTGGACATCCTGAGCAAGACATGGCTCTGGCTGGCTGAGACCAGCTGGGGGGGGG